CTTTGGGCAGTATCCAGTCTCCTGATCTCTGTTACATGTGGCAATGAGACCAGAACCATTTTGAGAGCAAAGGACTATGACATGAACAGCACTAACTAAATGAATCACAGAATAACATCTGCACTAATCTCCTTAGTGATATCAAACTTTCTGACTGTGAGCCACAGTAAGAAATATATTGTCTATGCATTTGGTATCACTGTGTACATTTGATACACAATGCATTTGTATATAAACATTGTATAGAATATGAAAAAGTAAAATTAGCTGGGTGTGTTGGCACACACATTTGGTCCCAGCTACTTGGGAAGCTGAGGTGGAAGGATTGCTTGAGTCCAGGAGGTCGAGGCTGCAGTGAGCTGTGATCATGCCACTGCATTCTAGCCTGGGTGACAGAGTGAGACCGTGTCTGGAAAAAAAAAAAAAGAAAAAAGAAGAAAGAAGAGAAAGAAAGGGAAAAAAGAAAAAGAAAAAAAATACACGGTCCCAAGAATAACCCCGAGTCTTTCCTCCAGAGACCCTAACCCCTGAAAAGATTACAGGTGAAGGGTGTTTGTGGGACAGAGATGGAATCAAGGGAGGCTGCAGTGGATCGTGTGTGGAAGGCCTTCTGAGGCAGAAGACCAGAGAGCAGGCTGAGCTCATATGTCAAAGTGTGTCAACTGCCACACAAAAGAGTTTGGACATTTTCTGTAGACACTGGAATTTTCTAAGCAGAGGAAGTCAATACTTGGCTATGTGTTTTGGAAAGATCTCTGGGACAGCTGTGAGGAGAATGGATTAGAAAGGCTAACTCACAGAGAGGGAAAGCCACGAGGAAGCTCTGTTGAGCATCCAGGTGAGAGAGTACAGATAAGGCCATAATTCAAGAAACACCTGGAAGAGTGGAGAACGTGGAGGAGACAACAGTCAGAAATGGTGAAGACTGAAATCAGCAGCTGAAGATTTGAGCTTGACTAGCTGGGTCAATATGATGCTGGTTTCCAGGGTAGGTACAGAGGAAGTTTGTCCAGGGACAAAACAGTTCAGTTTTGGAATAAGTTTGAGATACTCATTGGGAAAATTTCCCTGGGAAACATAACTCTCATTCTTTCACTTATTCAATAAACATTTATGGGCCTGATGTAAACTAACGTTTTATTTTGCCAAAGTAGAAACATTAAAGAAATAAAGTAATTTCTATCATTGCCATCATTTCGAATAACATTTACCACCAAAAATTAGGAAGAGCATACTCTCAGAATGAAGGACAGCCCTTTATAATTTTTTTTTTTTGAGACAGAGTCTCACTCTGTCGCCCAGGCTGGAGTGCAGTGGTACAATCACGGCTCACTGCAATCTCTGCCTCCCGGGTTCAAGCAATTCTCCTGCCTCAGCCTCCCAAGTAGCTGCGATTACAGGTGTGTGCCAACACGCCTGGCTAACGTTTGCATTTTTAGTAGAGGTGGGTTTTTGCCATGTTGGCCAGGCTGGTCTTCAACTTCTGACCTCACATCATGTGCCCACCTCAGCTTCCCAAAGTGCTGGGATTACAGGTGTGAGCCACGGCGCCCCTCCTAGTTCTTTATAACTGAATACATTTATTTATTGAAAAACTTTCCTAGTAATGTTTTTCTCATTTTGCCATGAAAACATTGCTGTATACCATCAGCATGGTCTGTGGACTGTGACTGGAGAACCACTGATTCGAGGAATGGGCAGAGGAAGGGAGGCCAGCAAAAGAGACCAGGAGGCATGATTCCAGAGCCAGGAGGAAAACCAGGAAAGTGTGATCATGGAGGCCAAAAGAGGGGAGAGTTTCAGAAATGAGGACTTGGCCAATGGTCTGTTTTGCCACCCAGAATTCAAAGAGGTAATCAAATTTGGCGATTCGCAGGTTATGGGTGACCTTTGGCAGAGCCCCTTCACTGAGATAATGGGACTGGGACCAATCTGCAGTTGGTTGAGGTGTGAATGGGAAGGCAGGAAAAGTTGAAGTCTAGCATGTAGACTACTTTCAACAAATTTGAGAGTGAGAGAAAGAGAAAAGAGAGAGGAAAGGAGGAAGGGAGAAAAACAGATTGAGAGGGAAAGAGCAAGTTAGGGGAGCAAGAGAACACACAGTGGACGGGGAGTTCTTGTTTTTTTTGGAGTACAGAGACAAGCATTTTATAATCAGAAGAGAAAGAGCTGATATAGGGAAGCTGAACTTTCCTGAAGACAAGAAGCATAACAAATGGTTGGAGGAAGGGCCCAGGAAGGAGGTGGATGAGGCCAAGGCCCAGGCAGAGGGATTAGCCTTTAACTAGAGGGGCACCTTGTCCCCTGAGAAGAGAGGGCTGGAGGGGAAGGAAGTTGGAAAGACAGGCCAAGTTTGAGGGGGGAGGGGGCAGAGAGCACTGAGGTAATTCACGCTTGAAGGCCTCTGTTTTCTCAGGGAAGTAGAAGGAGAGGTTATTCTGTGCAGAGAGAGGGGAGGAGCAGGAACATGGTAAGGAGCTGAAGGAAGTTTGGAATGTAGCCAAGCTGAATGTGGAGGCTGCAGCTAGGGCCTTGACAAGGGAACATGCTCAGAGATGACTGAGGGGTGCCAGCAGGGCAGCTGAAATTCACTGAGTCTGCCTTCTCCCTGCGGGTCTTGTCTCACTCACTAAGCTTGAGGCAGAGTCCACGGCACTTTCCTTTCTCGTCTCTCCCCTCGCTAGGCAATGCTAGCCCAGTTTGGCCCAGAGGAGTCACCCAGTACTCTCAGAAAGGTCTAGAAAAGCAATCACTGGCAAAACCCAGAAGCACTATAGGGCTGTTACAGGGAACGGAGGTAAGATCTTAACTGTTCTGATAGGAAGTTCTCCATCTTGGTTGATCCAGACCTTTCCTGTTACGCTGCTGACCGATTTACTCCTGTTTTGTGTTAAGTGAAAAGGAGAACAGCTAGCTTTTGCCCAGCAACACTTGCAGGCCTTAAATCTTACATACAGGCCAGGAAAAAGCTAACAAGAGGAGCCAGCGGCTTCATGTCCCACAAGCTAAATGAGGCCAAGGCAATTCCTAGGAGGTAGCAAGACAGAACCATTGCATAGGAAGGACAAAGCTGTGGAAACAGGACTGAAGGCTCCCTGGGCTCCAGGAGAGCATGCTGGGAGCTGCGTGTAAGCGGAACCCTGAGGACTGCTGCTCAGGGGAGTGAAGGGACTGGACAGCTCCTAATGTGAAGGGGGTGACTGAAGGAACACAAGTTGAAGGTGGGAGGTGGCATGATGGGTGGCATGGTTGAGTCTGGTCGGACGTGAGCCCCAAGCTCCCCAAGAGGAGCCTCTTAACCCTCTCCTTCCTTCCTTCTGCCTATTCTCAGAGGCCACTTAGAGGTGGAAAAGATCCTAGAGTGTGACAACAGGTGTTGTGCTTCTTTCTCCTTTGCATGCCATCTCCTTCCAGCCCAGTCTTTTCAGCCTGGTGCCTTCTCTCAGCCGCACTCCTCCTTTCAGCCAATGATGCAGTCAGTATAAGCAAATGCTCAGCTCATGAAGGTAAACTTAGCAAGAACTCTCAGCGACTGATAGGTGCTCCAGCTCCCCAACAACCCTCTCTTTCCCCACAAGATTTCCCTCTTCAGGACCCAGGATCCAGCTTGCCCTTAGAAAATTCAGGGACAGAGAGCTCACTCCAGCCCAAGGCAGCACATTCCACTGAACTCATTTCACCTCATATAATAAACCTCTGTTTATTGAGGGCTGGGACTGTGCCAGGCCCTTGGGTTAGGTGGTGACTGAGCCGTTAGAAAGTTTTCCTTTGATTGAGCCAAAATGTGTCTCTCTGTAGCTTCCAGCTATGGACCTCAGCCCTGCCCTTTGAAGTCACCCAGAACAAGTGTAATCTCATTGCAGTCTAATCCTCAGGTATTTGAAAATATCTATCATTTCCCCCAGCTTTCTGTCCTCTATGGATAAACATTTCTTTCTTGGTTTATTTTTATTTTTAGCGCCTTTCCTTTTTATTGCTCAAATAATATCAGTTCATTGTGGAACTTCTTAGAAAATTCAGAAAAACATAAAGTAAAAATCCATCCTACTGTTACTCCCAGAAGTGACAACCCTAGCACTGTTTCTAATCACCAGTCTTATTTTTCTCTGCACGCTGTCCATTCTACGCTTCTTTCTTATCAAATGGGATCATCTTGTAAGTATGATTTTAGAGGCTTATTTTGTTTTCACTCACCATATTGAGAAATATGGTAACTTTTCCCTCATTCTTCTACCATGCCAATTTTAATATGAAATTCTGTAACTGCCCAATGATTTATCTAAGCAGCTTTAAAAAGTGAGACATTTAGGTTGTTTTCAATTTTCCTTTGCTGAAAAGAACACAGTGGGACTAGGATTGGAAGTGGGGTGAAGATGGGGGCTAACGATGTTTAGCTTCTTGAACATCCAAGAAGCTAAATCTGTGCTGGGGCTGGACACTGAGGTCAGAAGGAATATTTTTGAGACCTCTGAAGCATAAGGTCCCTGCCAGTAGGTGAACAGAGAAACAAGGAGCCCTTAAATTAGTCATGTTATTTTACCATTTGATTTTTTTTTTCATTTTCTGTGTTGTAAAAATTATGCTTCCCAGAACATGATTGTGAGCACCTGCTTGATATTCAGCTGCAAGGATTTACCCTAATTAATGTTACCGGTTTCCTATTACTGGATGTGGTGGTTGTTTCTAATTATTGACCATTACAAACCAGACTGTGATAAACATCCAAGAAGCTAAATCTGTGCTGGGGCTGGACCCTGAGGTCAGAAGGAGTATTTTCGAGACCTCTGAAGCATAAGGTCCCTGCCAGTAGTTGTAACTAGAAGCTTTCTGGCAAAGGCCCAGAAGCCTGGCTAAGGCCAAGGACTCTGCTCTGGGCTTGCCCAGGTTCAGTACCCATTCATGTAGCCCCCATCAAAGAGGCCGGCAGGGTTCTATGGGACCACTGGGCCAGCACCCTTATCTCTCACGTGAGGGAACTGAAGCCTGGGGCTGGGGCTTGTCCCTCAGCACCTCTGCATCAGGCAGAACTTTGCCTCTCTGCAGCACCCTGGCTCTTGAACTGGAAGCTGAGCTCTGAGGTTTGGAATGTGACCCAGAGGTCCTGTGAAATCCTGCCTGCTCTCTTTCACTAGACCACTTACTGTTGAGGCTGGAGGGGACACTTTGGCAAATGAACTGCTCGGTAAGGGTCTAGCTGAGGGGCACTGAAAGAACACTTGAGGTTTACCCTTCAGGCAACTGGGCTTGCTCTACCCAGAACACCTTTTTTGTCCCTAACCCAGATGATGTGCTTAATGGCAGTCACCCTATATTCGGATCCACCTGGCAAGTCTATTTGAGGTTAAGCTGAAATAACAACTGAGTCCCTCATTCTCCTTAAAGGGGTCAGCTGTCTCTTCTTGCCAGGAATGGGTTTTGTTAAAGGCCTGTCTATTCACCCTTCTGTCCCTGACAGCTCTGTGGTTTCAGAGTGCTAATGAGCTCCTCTCCTTCCCGTCTCAGGCCTTGCTACTGCCTGGGGAATTCACACAAATGGTGTGCGATTTGCCTCTTCTGTGTTTTCCTTTCTGACTTGGAGGCAAAGCAAATCCCTCACCTCCCACCGACACCATGTTTATTCAACTGGGAGAGATTTCACACCCAGGAACCCAGCTCTCCCTCCCTGAGCCCCTTCCCTAAATCCTCATCTCACTTGCAAGTCCTCCCACCCCTGTTCTCCCGGAATAATTTATAAGACCAGGCAGGGCTTATATAAGGGTCTCCTAGGAAAGGCCAAGAGAGTGCAGAAGTTTCTGGGAAACAGAAGACCCCACAGCCCGACTGGCTTTGGTCACCTAAGAATGGACTCTCCTGCCTGTGCTGCTTTCGCCACCCCCGTTCCAGCCCTGGCCCTGGCCCTAGCTTCGGCCCCAGCACAAGCCCCACTGGCACTCCCTGGCCTGCTAAGCCCATCTCCTCTTCTCTCCTCTGGACAAGAAGTAGACAAGAGTGAAAGGTAAGTGGAGCTTGGCCTTTGGCAACCTGAACTTAGGCTTGAGGGCTTCCTGAGAGAGGAAGAAAAATGAATTGTTCAGGGCACTCCATTCTCTATGAGGGGGAAAAGCAATGGCCTCATAGCGCTTCCTTCACATCTCTAGCTGGAATATCTCATCTGGCTTTTCACCTCACTAATCCCGCTGGGTGGGAAGAGGAGACTTGGGGACAGTGAATATTGCCAAAGCTGAAGGCCAAGCAGCCAGGTCCCCATAGGCCAGGTGGCTGAGTACCCTGAGGGGAAGGAGACTGCCATGAAACCTGGGCTTAACAAAATCTAGACTGTGGGGGTGGGGAGTGTGGGGAAAGAGGACCAAAGTCTAAAGAGGCCCTTGACTGGGAGATTGCCTTTTTCCTGACCATGCCATCAAATTTTCCATTTGCTTTTTTCCTACCTCTGCAAGTCCAGTGGGGACGCATTGGGCCCAGGAATATTTCTGGTCCTTTTCCTAAGCCCAGGAAGATGGTAAGACTCTGAGCTCTACTTCTTGGAGCAGGAAGTAGGAGGCAAGATATTTTCCACCTAACCCCCATTCATTTCTCCAAACATTCAGCCTTCAACAAACATTTACTGAAACAGCTACTGTGTACCAGACATTGTGCTGGGTGTTGAGGAATCAGATATGATTGAACATGTCTTTGAGCTTAAGAAGCCCAAAGACAAGTAAATAGACAATTATAAAACAGCATGATAAGAGAAATAATAACATTACTGAAGCCGAGAGGAGGGGCATCTGTCCTGGCCCGGGCTCAGGAGCCTTAGGAAAGGCTTCCTGGAGCAGATGGCACCTGAGCCAAGCTTTTGGGAGGCCTCTTGTTATCTCAGGGAGCCCATATTTCAGTCTCTTCCTCTACCGATTGATCTCTCCTCTTGTCCCAGAGGAGCTTGTCTCTGGAGGCCCTGGCTGTCCTCCACAAATGACTCCCTAAAGCAGATGAGGAAGCTGGTGGATTTGGTGAGTTTGAGCCCTTGTGACGCATGTTCACATGCAGCCACATGCATTCACACTGACCATGTCACTTCCCAGAGATGCCCCTGACCTCAGTCCTGGGCTATAGATTTGAGATAGCATCCTCACAGTTTTGCCAATATTTGATTTCAACAGAGAGCAGATCCAAGTTTTCTGTGGCAATTGGAAAGATGAGGAGGCCACGGTTCAGAGTGGGCCAGGGATCTGAGCAGGCCCCACAGCCACTGTGAGGCAGTGCTGGTGCTCGAGGCCTGGTCTCCTGGTACCTTGCTCCAGTGTTCTCCCACCCGCAACCATCTCCCTGAATCTTTGCTGCTCTAGTAGAACTCTGTCCCCTGGACAGCCTCCAAACAGGTGTTGGAACAGAGGCAAGGAAGCAAACAACACCCAGGACTCTGTTTACCTGTTTTTCAAACAGAACCAAGAGAGACCCCTTGTTGAGGGGTGGGTGTAGGGGGTCGCTGGGTCCCAGAGATGTCTAAGGTCTTTTCTAGATCATCTTACCCGCAGCTTTCTGACCTCTGGTACAGAGGAGCAAGTTATCTAGCCATGTACTTTGAACCACATGCTAGCTCTTGCTTTGGACAGGCTGCTAGTGGGACAACAGCTGCTGAGGTCACCAAGGCTGAATCCAAGTTCCATCACCCTGTCAGGTAAGCTTCTGGCACCAAGCTCCAAACTTGACATAGATCCATTAGCTCTTTGAGTCTTCAAAAAAGTCTTGTGAAGCAGGAGAAGGGAGGGACTGCTGGTTTATGATCACTGTTTCATAGAAGAGAAACTGGAGCCCAGAGAGTTTAAGGGACTTGGCCAAGGCTGTCTTTCCTGGAGGCAATATCAATGACACCCAAGAATGATCCCCCATGGATGGGTCAGTGAAATAATCCTCAGTAGAAGGATATGGGGACCACAGGGCTGGAAAATTCTTGGCTAGAAGCCTGCTGGGGTAGATAGGGGGTGTGGTCAGAGCCACAATTGACAGAGGCTGTGACTGGGTCCCCCACCCACCACTACAGGCCCACAGGGGGTTATCTTCCTGTGTGGGGCCATTTTGTAGCAATGCAGAAGGTTCTGTTACAAAGCTCTCTTTCTTCCTTTCCCTCTGACCTCATTTTTGAAGCGAAGAGAAGGGATTTAGAGGCCAGCTTCTTTATTGGCCCTACTGGCCCTTCTGCACATATGAGACTTGTCTAAGTTAGGGGCCATGTTTCTTCTCTGTCCACAGGCTCTTCTGGCCTAAATCTCACTCCTTTGACTATCTGTACAGTGCTGGGGAGACTTTATTGCAGAACTTTCCTGTCCAGGCAACCATCAACCTATATGAGGACTCAGACAGCGAAGAAGAAGAAGAGGATGAAGAAAAGGAGGATGAACAAGAGGAGGAGAAGTAGGAGGATGATGAAAAGGAGCCAGAAGGGTGTGTGAGGGTTCCAGGGTCCATATCTTGCAGCGCCACAGCTCATTCCTCTTCCCCACCTCTGGCCTATCCAAATGGAGGCAGCCAGAGTCTGATTGGGGTTGTTTGTCAGGCAAGTTTCCACAGACTTCAATTAACCAGGAGTATTAGTTAGTCCAGCAGATAGAGATTTCTGGACTGACAATTGGGTCCTCTAGCTGCCCAGCTCACCCTGGCTTACCTCACTGCCTTGTGAGCCCAGACCTCTGGCATCTCATTATCTAGGCTGCTGTTGTGTTGACAATGGGAGGGTTCTAGGAGCTCTAGAAAAAGGCAGGCTTGCTGAAGCCCCAGGAAGCAGAGCAGGACAGGACACGCCCTTGCAGAGGGAAGTCGTTACTCCTCAGGCCCTTTGACTCCCCAGCCTTCCCAGGTGGCCGTGTAGTCCCATCTCTCTGTGGAAAGCCTGACTTCTGGCTTCACCCCCAGGAATACCAACTGCAGATCCATGCAAGGTTAGGGTGCCTTTTTGATGAGTCTTACAGGAAGGGAAGGGGGCGTGTAGAGAATCGGATTGCTCTGGAGATGCCCCCTATTTTGCCTGCTATCCATTGAAGTCTGTGTGTTGGCATGAGATGAATCAGGAGAAAAATAAACTTGATGGTGTTTTTATTTTTCTTGGAACTGTGCTGATTTCTTAACTGAACTCTGCCCATGTTGTGAAGCCATGGGCAGAGGGTCAGAGACCAGCTTAAGGCCAATTCATTGCTGTCCCTACCTGAGATCAGTTGATAAGTTTTTCTTCATGGGAATGTAGGGCTGGGGACCCAGCATGGGGCCAGGCCTCCTCCTTCAATTTGTAAAATCCGACTTGATTAAACTTCAAGGACATCTTGGAAAGGGAACAAAAAGACTCCCAAAATGCAGCTTGAAAGTTGGGAGTAGGGATGGAGGTTACAGGGCAAAACGTGACAGGTACAGCCTCATTTGAGTCTCAGAGATGGCTGTGTGCATGTGGGGAGGAGGGCTACTAGGTCCTAGCCATTTTTTCCCCTCAATTCCCTTTGTATTTACCACAGCTCAGACCCTCATGCTTACCCCTGCTTCAATTATTCTTTGACTATTTTTTTTTGCCTCCAGTTGCCCCTTTGCAATTCACCCTCCACATTGACCACCAGATAAGAACACATCATACCTTTGCCAACACTGTTAAACTTATCTTTTTCTTTTTGTCACAAATCCCCTTGAGAACCAGTGGCTTCTCTATTCAGAAAAATATATATGTTCACAACACACACACACACACACACAAAACACACACACACACACACACAAAACACACACACACAATGGTATATAGTCACAAATCAAGTACTTAACTTGATATTCTAGGCCTTTCAGTTGTCTGGGTTTTGCCTGTCTCTTGAGACTCATCTCTCAACTCTTGAAGTTTACGCTGCCTCTCCTTGAATGTGGCTTGGTTTCTAACACTCTGTGTCCTTAACCCTGTCTGGAATGCCTTTCTACTTTTGCATGCCTCATAAACCCTCATTCATCCAACAGAACCAGCTGAGATACCCCTGCTACAGGAAGCCTCCCCAGACCCCTAAGGCACCAGGTTGGAAGCCTCCACTCATCCAGAGCTTCCCCTAACATAGCATTTACCTTCTTTCCTGTGCAGTAACCAGGGGCTGTATTTGCTAGTCCCATATGATTTCATTGTACAGAACACTGCCTGGCACAAAGGAGGTGCTCAGAAAATGCTGAAAGAGAAAAGATTCTCAAGTCTTCTTAAAATAGCTCTTGGTGGAACCACCATTGTTCCCCCACTTGCTAGCTTCCGGGTTTAGCTACAAAGGGGAGAGAGTAATGTCATCTCATTCAGGAGCAAAACGATGACCATCCTTCTTTTCCTCCTCCCTCAACATGAGACCGGCTGCTTCTGTTCAGAGCCCTAGCTGGGACTTCCCTACATTGGATGCAACCTTGAGTAGACCACCAAACTCACACACTGGTGCCATCTATTGGTCAAAATTTAGCCTTGTTCCTTAATTAAGGCTTCCAGGCAGTTGACCTTTGACTACATTAATTCTTTTAGTCCATTCTGTTTCTGTTTGTAAGTAAAGTGGAGTCTACCATGTGCTAGCAGTATGACCTTGGGCCAATTACTTATCTGCTCTGAGTCTCAGTCTCCTCATTTGTAAAATGAGGCTAATAGTATTTCCTCTTGGAGTTATTGTAAGGATTAAATGAGATAATATATGTAAACTACTTAGCATGGCCCCTGGCACATAGTACAAGCCCTTAATAAATGGTAGTTGTCATAGTAATAGTAGTCTTAGTAGCTGCTATTACTGATTTTATAACGGAAATGATCTTATAGGCCAGAGTCGGTTAATGATGATTTACTCAACTAATAACTGATTTGTCAGTTATCACCACTTGATCTTCTTGGTACCATTTGATGGTTTACAGGTAAAAGCACCTTTGTAGTGTTTATTCCAAAATGAACTTAAAAAACCACAAACAATAATAATATTAATAGTAAACTGAAAACAGAGGCCAAGTGTGACTCCCTGGACCACTGTCTACATTCAAATGGTAGCCCACAGATTTCGGCTCCCTTTTTCCAAGGCCAGAGGTTTGCAAATGTATTTTTTGTGCTTTAATAGGAAAACCTTTCTTTTGAATTGAATGCAGAAGCCCAAGATATAAATCAAATTAAAATGGAGCAACCCTGGTGAAAGCCATAATGGGGGGCCCAGAATTCCTACCCTGGTGTCTTCTCTCTGGTAAAGTAACTGTCTCCACCCCCTTTCTGTGAGGTACTTTAAGGGATCCCTAGATTGTGGGAAACATAATTTGGAAACCACTGTTCCGAGGGTTAAACCAGGATTGATTTGAAGTAGAAGGGAGATTAATTAGTACTTTAAAATGCCCAGTGCTCTGTTTAAAATCCTTGTTTTAGGTCCTAAGCGCCCAGCATTTCATAGCTCAAAAATTGCTCGAATCCTTATACCATAGGTTATAGGTATTTAAAATCCTTGGAATCCCAATATCCTTGGTTTTAAGGTATTATATAGCATAGAATTACAAATCCCTAAATCCTCGGGGATTTAAAGACCCTAAAACCCTTGGAGCAGTAATTCTTAACTCGGAATGGGCTCTTCTCATTTCCCACCCCCCCTTTACTGCACACGTGCTATTGTTTACTGGGCAGACATTTTGTCTCGCTGTCCTCTCAGTCCCCTGACCTGAAATGGCTTCCAATCCTCCTCCCGTAGGTGGTTGCTAAGTGATTGGAATTCACTGTTCTGACTAATCAGAGCTCACCATGAGTTACTTTGTTATGGGTGTTTCCAATCCTTGTAACAACTTCAACTCCAGTGCACAAACTCAGGACAAAAATCTCTGTGCAAAACTCTAGAGTCCTTCCTCCAGCTCCACCCAGCTGTCACATCCTAGTGTGCCAGCACTTCCCCACCCTAACACTGATTTCCTCTTGTTTCTCCCAACTTGTAGCAGCAGTGAGAGGACATATCTGTTGAGGTGAGGCTGCATTTGAGCTCGGCCTTGAAGGATGGGCGTGAGTAATAATGGAGGGATAAAACTTTCCAGAAAGAGGCAGCACTAAGAAGTCCTTCATTAAACAATATTTATTGAGCACTTACTATGTGCCAGCCCTTATTGTTGTAAAGATTAAGAGCATGGGCTTTGGAAGCAGATGTACCTGGGTTCAAATGCCTTATCTGCTGCATGCTGGCTCAATTCACGGGCCCACTTCCCTCAAGTGTCAAGGTCAGCTCTCTGCTTGTGACCCTTTCACTACAACCTCTATAGTTCTTTATTGTGTCACACCTTTGCCCCACACAGCACATGCTCATTACAATAGTTACCTATTCTCCTTTGTCTCTGGGCACGGAAAGCCCTCTGTCTACCCAGTGGGTGTTACAAACCCCCACCTCTCACACCCTCTTCGAAACTGTGCCTGCGTGACCCACCTAGTGGGCAGATATGTTGTCTCTTTTCCTCCCCAGTCTCCTGTTGTAAAATGGTGGCCAATTCCCCCCCAAACAAAGTTGTTAGGGGACCTGAATCCGCTGTTTTGGCCTGTCGGGAACGTGGTGTTGATTCCTGTGTTTTTGGTTTATTCCCCAGCTGGCAAGCCTCGTGACAACCTCCATGGAAACACAGAAACCCAGATACAGAAAGCCGACAAAGAATGAGTGCTCTGACTGTGGGTGCCACAGCACTTGCTACTGACGTTACACCCATCACCTCGTGTGGTACTATAATCACAACAGTCCTAGAGATAGGTCTAATTATTATCCCCACTTATGAATGAAAAAACTAAGAGTTAGCTGGGTTTCTGTGCCTGGGTTTGTGCGCCTGTGTGGAAGATGCTACAAGCCTTGTCAGTGGTGATTTAAGTCAAAAATACAGGAACCAACACCAGGCCATGACAGGTAAAACAGTGCAGTCAGGTCACCGGTTTACAACAGGAGACTGGAGAGGAGAGGAGCTGAACTGTCTGCCCACTAAGAGCCATATAGGCACAGTGCAGGGTGGGTGGGTACGAGGTGGTGACAGCCACGGGGAGGGGGGGATAGGGGCTTTCTTCGTCCAGAGGAGACTAGACAACAGGATACCTAGGAGGATAAGAGTTAGAACATCTGATAATTCTGGAATTCTTATTACAAACCTTACATCGATTAACTCCTTTAATATAACAACTTTGAAGGATGGGTACAGTTGGGCAAACCGAGGCTTAGAGTGGTTTTTAAAAACTTGCTTCAAATCACACTATTAAACTGTGGCACCTTCTAAGTGTCAGGCTCTTTACACATTTTACCTCATTTAATCCTTATGGCAACCCTAAAACTCAAGCACTATTATTTTTCTTGTTTTATGGATAAGGAACCTGAGGTTCAGAGAGGTTAAGGAATCTTAAGCTCACACAATTAATAAATGACAGGCCCAAGATTTGAGACATGACAGCAATTGCTCCAAGTTACATTAATGGTAAGTGGCAGAACCAGGGTTCAGCGCCGCCTCACTCCAGAGCCCTGTGCTTTCAGGAGGGGGAATCAACAGGGTTTGCTGGAGGATTAAATCTGTGGGAGGGCAAGGGAGAAAAGGTTTAAGTTCTGGCTGCAGGGAAGTAAGTCAGAGGATATGAAGAACTCTGGGCCAGGGGCCAGGAAAAACTGAGGGCCTCTGAAAGGTGTCACTGAAGGAGGAATGTTTGGGGACCTCCTGCCTGGCAGTGGCAGGCTCTCACAGCACCTGGGCTGTGGGCACAGGGCTACCAGAGGTGAGCGGGAATGAGGGAATTCTGTTCCTGCCCCTCAGTGCTGCACTGCCTCAGAGTGGAATGGGCCTTGGATGGGCAAGCCTCACTCTGGCTGAAAAGTGGGAGGAATTACCAATTGCTGAGTTCTCCTGTGCTATCCCAGGCACTGTGCTTGGCACCACACACACTTTATCCTGAACTGGGCAGTGGTGGCAGGGGGCATCCTCATGTTTACACATAAACTGGGACTTGGCTGGGAGCAGTGGCTCAAGCCTGTAATCCCAACACTTTGGGAGGCTGAGGCAGGCGGATCACTGGGTCAGGAGTTCGAGACCAGCCTACCAACATGGTGAAACCCCGTCTCTACTAAAAATACAAAAATTAGCTGGGA